GAGTAAGGGAAGCACAACTCGGGAAATGAGAGCATCCGAGGAGCATGTGAGTGCTATGTATATTTATTGAAAAAATTTGTAATGTTCTTTAATGTTATCCATCGTTTTTATTGTGGCTCTTTTTTTTTTTAAAGTATCGGTTCAGGCACCGGTACCGTTTTAAAATTATCGATTTGGCACCGGTATCGATACCCAACCCTACTTAAGACAAAACAGAACTGCTACTTTCAAATAAAAGTATTATCAACTGGGATATAAACTGTAGTAGCACTGTTAAGAAATCAAACAAACAGCATGAGAAATGATTATTGATTTCAAATATGGTCAGGCTACTTAACATCCATTAGTGAATTTACCATCATTGCATAACAAAGGCAAGGTGCTTGAACGTGCTTTTTATAGTTACCTGACCGATTGCTTTAACTGATCCACTCATAAAGCCAACTCAGAAATATTCCACAAACTCCAGCTATCAAAACACAACTGGCAGATTCCATTAAGATTCAAAGCAATGGGCCTACTAGTCATCTGAAATACAACCAGCAAGGATGAAGGCTATTCATTGGTCATGCTAACCACTTATTTGATCAAAAATACAGAAATATTATTTCAATTTAAAATAACTGTTTTCTATTTTAATACATTTTAAAATGTAATTTATTCATGTGACAGCAAAGCTGAATTTTCAGCAGCCATTTTACCAGTTTTCGGGGACACATGATCCTTCAGAAATCATTTTAATATGCTGATGGCACTCAAGAAATATTTCTTATTAATATGCTGTGTGCTTAATAAATATTTTTGTGGAAACTGATACTTTTCCCCAGGATTGTGTGATATATAGAAAGCTTTAAAAAACAGCATCTTTTGTATCATTATAAAAGTCTTTACAGTTAGTTTTGATCAACTTTATAAAATAAAAATTTTTTAAAAAAAGACTGACTCCAAACTTTTGAACGGTAGTGCATGTTGCATGCATTTTTTAAGCCAGGCCTAACTATAGCTCCTCTTTACGTCAGACGTTCAGCATAAACACAAGCGCGCACGCCCTCTCACACACCCACACACAGGGAAGTGGTCAAGAAAGAGTTAATCCTGAGTCATTCTGAACACCACCCTGCCAAACCCATATAACATACAAATTCTCTCAGAGTATAGGAAACATCGTCCATGTATTCACGCTGTTGTGGTCCTCACGCACCACCTATTCAGGCCTCTTGACATTAGTCTGTGAGCTGGAGAGCTGGTTCAGTGGTGACAACATGATGACAGCGAGAAGAGGGTGATCCACAGGACCTGATTGTGACCTATACACATTAAGAGCATGCCAAGAAAATTAAGAGCGCTACCTGTCCTGTGACATTATGTCACATTATGTCATTATGATGATGCATATTTAAACGCCATTTTAAATGATAATCTACATAATAGCCTCAATCCAACCATCATGAGGACAACACCTAAAAGGTGCATACAACAATTCTTAGCTGTTAAATATCTTTTTCCATGACTTTTGTCTTCTGTCATGTAATGACCCCAACCAATATGAAGTCAAACACACAGCTGCCACTTAAAGTGGTAGTTCACCCAAAATTGAAAATGATGTCACCATTTACTCACCCTCACGGCGTTCCTAACCTGTATGTCAAAAGACAATATTTTAAAGAACTATTTTGGTCCATACTAGGGCTGTGCGATATTGGTGAATAATAAAAAGGAAAAATACAACACTGCTTAGTAGTTACTCTATGAATTCAATATGCACTGATTCTTATTTAAGCTACAAAAGTTATTTAGGTAAGAGCAGTGAGTGATTTTCTCTTTGTCTTTTGTTCATGGCCCAAAATATTGCAAGCCGTAGCGATATGTACATTTGCGATATTCCGATAATTTCGATATATTGCACAGCCCTAGTCCATACAATGAAAGTCAATGGGGTGCAAAACAACACTAGACTCCTAAGACTTTTATTGTATGGACACAAACAGTTATTCAAAATATCTTCTTTTGTATTCCACAGAAGTCATACAGGTTTGTAAAGACAAAGTATAAGTAAATGACCATTTTCATTTTCACATTAACTAACGCAAGCGTGCAGCCTCAGCGGCCAAACATTTTCCCACAGTGCTCACCATTCCATTGCCATCACAAGAGATCTGCATGGCAGTCTTGTGCTTCAGTTTCTGCCAATACTTCTGTGCCTGTCACAGATCTGGACGGACTTTAAGGAAGCCACTGAGCAAACAAAGGGGTCCCCTCATCTGTTTTTCTTACACTGTCAATCCTCCAACCTCCCCACTCGTGCAAATCCATCCTTCAGCAATCAGCATCAAATAAACAACTGCAAACTCAGCACTATCTGAACGGCAGGCTGGGTCAAAGTTTCACACAGTGTTCAATCATGATAAAGAAAGACAGTTAACTGCTGTCGTCATTTGGTCATGACTACAGTCGTACCGATCGGGTTAACAAATGATGACCAAAGCACTTTATCTACAGTTATAATCAGACCTCTAATCGCTCTGCAGATGAACACAGTGTCAAAGTTTGAGTTACTCTAACATTAAACTGTCACTTTTGATCAATTTACTGCATGCTTGCTAAAAAAAAGCATTTTTAAGAATAAAAAATTCTGACCCCAAACTTTAGAACATTAGTGTATCTGAGAACACAATCTGAAGTCATAAAGTTATGTCTAATGCCTAGTCAGCCTAAAGAAAAGCTGTCCTAGACAAGATATGAAACATCACTTGCAAAAGAGGCAAGATGCCACTAAACTAAGATTTGCTGTAATATATAAAAAGCGAAATTAAGATCTGACAACCTCGTAGTCAGAAATGACACTTCTACAAACTGTATCAGAGATAAAGTGAACATGAATACACATCAAAAATGAGGTAATGGAAGAACATAAGACATTAACTCATTAACTTTTTGGCCACCATTCAACTTTTGAAGCCAGATATATAATGTCAACGTGATACCCATTATGAAGGACTCCAAATTTATACTCACCATCAATTCAAGTTTTTGCTACTCCTAACGTCACTTAGCAGTCATCTTACCACAATAAAGTATTAATCACATGATGTTGCATTAAAGCAAAAAAAAATTCGCTGTACAGATAATTTTTAAAAATCAATAATACAACTTGAGGCCTTGCAAGAGCTCAGATGATAAAACGACACAATTTCAGCATGAATCTCAGGCCTTCCTTGCAAACACCCAGTAAGGCAAAAGCAACCAACTGTGGTAAGCATGAAACCAAGGGTAAATGTAAGCCAGTACACTGTAGGTTAAAAGAACAAATGAAGCGTTAAATGTGAGTGAGAAAAGCTTTAACCATGTCAGAGAAACAGAAGGAGAGCTGACAGGAGCCGAGGTGATTACATAACGCACTAAATTCTTACTAACAGTGAGCACGAGCCGATGGGATTATTTCTGACGCGCGCTTGTTTGTCTGTCGCTGCTACAGGACAAACAAACGCGTTAAACCTTGGAACTTACACACAATAACAGCAACAATGTTTATTTGTTGTATCCAAAAGGAAAGTGGGCGGCAATGTCAGTCCAATATCGTTATAGCCGCTCTTGTGTGTCTGCTCGCTCGTTACACAACAAGCCTCATACTTAGCAATGAAATCACGCGCAGGCTCGCGCTGGTTAGCTTAGCACGAGCTCTCGTCGAACAAACCCGAGGCCCACACGTCCCCCCATACTCACATTTCCAGATATACTGCGGATGTCAGCGTTCGTTCCCACTTCAGTCTCTTGGTTGCGGATATTTTCGGAGCCGATATGCGTGTCGCTTCCTTTAAAAACAAACAATCAGGGTGACTTCACGTGAGAAGCGATCATTCCGTTTACGGCGATTCTCTGCTTTGATAGCGTAAATTTTTGCGCATGTTTGACGCCAACGCAGATGTCCCTGAACAAATCTGTCGACTTGTTGACTAAATCTGTCTAAATTTCGTATCAGTATGGGATCATGGTGTGGGATAAATCATTACATAAATCCGAATAATCAGCTTCTGTAGGGGAGGCCGAGATATCCTTCGGTTCAGAGACTTGTGCGTCTTGATGGAGGGGTGGGATAGTTTCTTCAAGTGGCTCGATGATTGGCCAAAACTCCACAAGGAGTGTTTGCTAATTGGATTATTTTGCTGACAGCTAAACCTTCAGATGGCCAATCCCACGATTTGATTGGCTTTCGTCTTGTCATTTACCGTCACGACTCTTGAACAGTAGTTTACATTACGTGCAAAACTCATCGCTTTAGTTAGTTTGTCATGCTGAGAGTCATGCTGAGATGTGTTTTTAATTACAGTAATAAGCCAACATTAGCTTAGTAATATAACTCTTGGTTAGTAATATGTAATGCATTAGTGTATTTATTAATTAATTAAGAATAAGGTATGGTGTTTCAATAAAGAGAGTGTGTGTGTGTGTGTGTGTGTGTGTGTGTTCTTATTAATAGTCATGTTTTTTTTATAATTGTTCATTACATTTTTTTTTCTTTGTTGATTTACAGTCAAAAGTAAAGTTCTCAGACTTAAATCAAAGATATAATCAAAATGAACAAATCTTCCTCACCTAGCACATTTGTGTTTTGCATTGCACAGATTTGTTTGACCTTTTAAATATAGCTACTGTCTAGGCATGTAGAGAACAAAAGCTGACCAAATACATCTTAAGATATCCAGTGTTGGGGAAAGTTATTTTTTAAAAGTAATGCATTACAATATTGCGTTACTCCATAAAGTAACTAATTACGTTACTTAGTTACTTTTTATGGAAAGTAATGCGTTGCGTTACTTTTGAGTTACTTTTTCAGAATGAGCTTTATTGCCAGGTATGTTTACACATACGAGGAATTTGTTTTCGTGACAGAAGCTTCCACAGTGTAACAGAATGACAGTGACAGAACAAAAAACACAGATAATAAAAAATAGAACAAGTAAATAAGGAATAAAAATATATAAATTGACAGTTGTATGTGCAGGTATATTACAATAGACAGTTTTGCATGTACAGGTACTGTATATTATGTGCAAATCTGAGGTGTAGACTGAGTATGTGTGTTAGATAAATAAGTGTATGAGTGAATAAATAGTGTGTGTTCCACAGTTATTGTTAAGTGTTCATGAGATGGATGGCCTGAGGGAAGAAACTGTTCCTGTGTCTGGCCATTCTGGTGCTCAGTGCTCTGTAGCGCCGACCAGATGGCAACAGTTCAAAGAGGGAGTGTGCTGGATGTGAGGGGTCCAGAGTGATTTTGCCAGCCCTTTTGCTCACTCTGGATAAGTACAGTTCTTGGAGAGAAGGGAGGGTTGTACCAATGATTCGCTCAGCAGTCCGGACTACCCTCTGTAGTCTTCTGAGGTCAGATTTGGTAGCTGAGCTGAACCAGACAGTTATTGAAGTGCAGAGGATGGATTCAATGATGGCGGAGTAGAACTGTTTCAGCAGCTCCTGTGGCAGGTTGAACTTCCTCAGCTGGCGAAGGAAATACAACCTCTGCTGGGCCTTTTTCACAATGGAGTCAATGTGAGTGTCCCACTTCAGGTCCTGAGAGATTGTGGTGCCCAGGAACCTGAATGACTCCACTGCAGTCACAGTGCTGTCCATGATGGTGAGTGGGGGGAGTGCAGGGGGGTTTCTCCTGAAGTCCATGATCATCTCCACAGTTTTGAGCGTGTTGAGCTCCAAGTTGTTGAGACTGCACCAGACAGCCAGCTGCTCGACCTCCTGTCTGTAAGCAGACTCGTCACCGTCCTGAATGAGGCCGATGAGTGTGGTGTCGTCTGCAAACTTCAGGAGCTTGACAGAGGGGTCTTTAGACGTGCAGTCGTTGGTGTAGAGGGAGAAGAGCAGTGGGGAGAGAACACAACCCTGAGGAGCTCCAGTGCTGGTTATACGGGTGCTGGATGTGTATTTTCCCAGCCTCACTAGCTGCTGCCTGTCTGTCAGGAAGCTGTTGATCCACTGACAGACGGAGGTGGGCACGGAGAGCTGAGATAGTTTGGGCAGGAGGAGGTTTGGGATGATAGTGTTAAAGGCCGAGCTGAAGTCCACGAACAGGATCCTCACATAAGTCCCTGGTCTGTCTAGATGTTGCAGAACATAATGCAGTCCCATGTTAACTGCATCGTCCACAGACCTGTTTGCTCTGTAGGCAAACTGAAGAGGATCCAGCAAGGGTCCAGTGATGTCCTTCAGGTGGGCCAGCACCAGTTTTTCAAAAGACTTCATGACCACAGACGTTAGAGCCACAGGTCTGTAGTCATTAAGTCCCGTAATTTTGGGTTTCTTTGGGACGGGGATGATGGTGGAGCGTTTGAAGCATGAAGGGACTTCGCACAGCTCCAGTGATCTGTTGAAGATCTGTGTGAAGATGGGGGCCAGCTGGTCAGCACAGGATTTCAGACAGACTGGTGTAACACAGTCTGGGCCTGGTGCTTTTTTCCTTTTCTGCTTCCGGAAGACCTGGCGCACCTCGTCTTCACTGATCTGAATTGCAGGTGTGGGGGAGAGGGGGGTTGCTGGAGGTGTGAATGGTTGTGTGGAGAGGTGTTCAGGGCGGGTGTGGGGTGTTTTTTCAAACCTGCAGTAGAACTCGTTCAGATCGTCTGCCAGGTGTTGATTCTCCACAGTGCTGGGGGATGGTGTCTTGTAATTGGTGATTTCTTTTAGACTTTTCCACACTGATGCCGAGTCGCTGGAAGTGAACTGAGTCCTTATTTTTTCCGAATAATTCCTCTTTGCCACTCTGATCTCCTTTTCCAGTGTGTATTTAGCCTGTTTATACAAGACATTATCCCCCTTCCTGTGAGCATCTTCTTTGGCCTGACGGAGCTGTCTGAGTTTTGCAGTGAACCATGGTTTGTCATTGTTGTAAGTTAAATGAGTCCTGGTAGGAATGCACATGTCTTCACAGAAACTGATATAAGATGTTACAGTCTCTGTGAGCTCGTCCAGATCGGTGGCAGCAGCTTCAAAAACACTCCAATCAGTGAGGTCAAAACAAGCTTGTAAATCCTGCTCTGCTTCATTAGTCCATCTTTTTACAGTCCTTAATACAGGTTTAGCTGATTTCAGTTTCTGCCTGTAGGTCGGTATAAGATGAACCAAACAGTGATCAGAGAGCCCCAAAGCTGCCCGTGGAACAGAGTGATATGCATGAAGGTCAGAAGCAAAGACATTGGTTAATAGAATGGGATTAAATACATAAAGTATATTTGTGTTGTTTAACATTTAATTATTGCATGTTTGCGTAAAATTTTGTTGCATTATTTTTATTCATTTTGAGGAATACTGAATCTGTGTTTTTTTTTGTTTTTGTTTTTTTGTGAGTGAAATGAATTAATGCATATTCATATTTATTTTAGAACTACAGTAGCATCTTCTGATTTCTCTCAACATGGGGACAGGAGAGCTGTCAATCAATAAATTGGAAAAAAAAAGTAACTTGCGTTACTTATTTGAAAAGTAACTCGGATATTCTCTTGTAAATGAAAAAGTAATTTGTTACTTTACTAGTTATGTCACGAATTTCTGAACTATTTCTCCCGTCTGTAGCGCTTCACACAATGGGGATCGCTTTATGGTGTATTTGGGCTGCATACACCACCACTGAAACTTTAGAAATGGCGGCGGCCACTGTGCGGTCTCCCGAGGTGGTGGCTGATGCTGCAGATCCTCCCGAGGTAGTGGCGCACGCTGCCGTGTTCGCTGAGGCGATGAAGCCTGCTGCAGCTTCTCCAGAGGTGGCGGCCCATGCTGCAGAACCTCCCGGCCAAGGAGGCTGTCTATGAACTCTCTGCCTGTTCTGTTCCGGCTAAGGAGGCCGTCTGTGAACTCTTTGCCTGTCCTGTTCCGGCCAAGGAGGCCGCCTATGAATTCTCTGCCTGTTCTGAACCAGTCGAGAAGGCCGTCTCTGAACTCCTGTCCTGTTCTGAACCAGCCATGGGGGTTGATTGTGAACTGTCTGTCACAGCCAAAAACTCTGCCTTTGAATCCTTAACCCTGCCTGTTATGAGCCCAGAAACTATTAATGCACCCCATGTCCTTCCCGTTAACCCTGTCACTGCCATAAAGATTATTCAGGAACTGTCTGCTTGTTCTGTTTCCCCAAGTGTGTCTAATTCTGAACTATCTGTCTGAACTATCTGTCTTGCCAGTCTCAGTCAAGGAGTTAAATAATGTCCACACAGTTTCAACCCATGAATCTGTTCACTATTTATCTGTCTGTCCAGTTTCAGTCACTGAAATGTCTACCAGTCCAGTTTCTCTTAATCCATCTAATTTTGCACAATCTGTCTGTCTGGTACCTACTAATGAGCCTGATGTTAAATCAACCTGTCTGTTCAGATCCCACTGACAATTCTGATGTCGTACTATCTGCCTGCCCAGTATCTGTTTATGAATTGTGTGTTAGTCCATTTTCAGTCAATACATCCAGTTTTGAACTGTCTGCCTGTCTGAGTTCTGCTCTTGAATCTAACTTTGTACTGTCAACCCACTCAGTTTCTGCCAATGCCCCCAACTATGAACTGTCTGTCTGTCCAGCCACTCTTGAAGAGACCAACACTGAATTTTTAACCCTGTCAGTCATGCCCAAAGAGACTTTTAATAAGCCCACTGTATTTCCAGTTCCGGTCCTTGATGCCGTAAATGCACTGCTTGTATCTTGTATCTCAATTTTCCCTAGGCCCCAGTCCCTGCCATGGGTTCCCGATCACTCTGGTCCGCCGTGGTGGTCTGCCGACAC